AAAGGCTGCGGCCCCATCCCCGCTGACCCGGCCCAGTTCACCCCGGCCCGCCCAGAGGCTCCTCGAAGCACGCCCCCCACAGCCCCCTGGCCCATCCCTGTGGCTCTGGGGTTTGAGCAGGTCCCTCCGCGGCCCTGGGATGGAGCCAGTGTTCCCCTGATCTCACGGTGTCGCCGGGTTGGGGGCAGCATCCACAAGGGTTGGCCTAGTCCTCCAACCCCAGCTCTTTATGGCGTCTGAGACGGGATAGGCCACGCCGTGTGCCGGGCCCTGTTTCCCTTTCTGAAAGGCCGTGTGTCTGCCAGGCTGGAGGTTCCAAGCCCATCGGGACCCTGGCACGGCCTTTCCCCTGATCCAACAGCAAACATTTTACTAAGGTTCACAGAGAGGAGTCACCCGTGGAGCGGGCACAGGAGCTGGGTGGGTGGGCTTCTGGGCAGCGCGGCATTCAGAGGAGATGAGAGCCTTCCCTGTGTCCACGGTTCTCAGGCGTCCGCGTGAAATTAACGCTATGTGAATGAGTAGCCCCTTGAGAAGGAAAATCGCACATGTGGTCTAAAAACCCTGGAGCCTCCTGCGTGGTGAGGGGTAGAGCTGGTCAGCCTCGTCCACGGAATCTCCCGGAAGAGGCCTGAACGAAGACTCAGTGTCTGTGAATTCCGGGACTGACAGCTTTGCTGCCCAAGCGCGGGTTCTGTTAGCGTCACTTACCGTCTCAGACGTGGACGGCGCCCTCGGCAGGTCTCAGAGGAGCCCTGTGGGAAGGGAGGCCCTTTCTGTTCCCAGATTCAGCTCCACGGGACATGCCCCTACCCAGCAGCTGCAGGACCCAGGAGGCTCAGAACCCACACAGGGCCCCTATACGGGGTCACTGTGCAGACAGACCCCCTGAGCCAGTCGGGCTGCAGAGGGTGGGGGCACCTTGCCAAACCTGCCTGGGAAGGGCCAGGCATTGTGTGAAAACTTCCGGGGAGACGGGGTGCGCCCGGGGCAGGGGCTGGGGTCTGCTGTTGTCCCTGCCTGCCGAAGCTCCCCTCCGTCGCCCACAGGTGGTAGCAGACAGGGGCTTTAGGGCCACCCTGGCCATGGGCAGAATTCTTGGCCCTGGCGGACTCATGGGCAGGGAGCGTGCAGGTACCTCAGGCTGTCAGAGCCTCTGCTTCTCCCGCTGGTGTCCACACCCCACCCTGCCGCCTCACCACACTTAAGAAAAAAAAGCTGCTTTTTAAAAATAACTTTAGCCTTGGATAACCGGGGCCTCCCTTCCCCCTCCCCTACCCGCCTCCCCTCCCCTCCCTTTCTACCCACATGTTTTCTTTGCCTCCCTCCTTCCCCTGCTTCTCTCCTCTGCCCTAGTCCCTCCCAACCCCCACCCACCACGGGTGCCAGGCCAGCAGGCAAGCACCTGGGTGGGTGCCCAGCCCTCCCAGGCAGAAGGTGGGTGGCTTTCTGGTGAGAAGGAGTGTTGGGCCTCCAGGGCCAGCCTCCTCCAGACGCCCCCTTCCCTGGACACAGAGCTCTCCACCGACTCTCGGCCCGCAGGCCCCACATGCTCCTTCAGCCCCGGAGGTGCACCTGGCCTGGTGCCCGACAGCAGGTTCCCAGCCCAACAGGGCAGCAGGAGACGAGCCTCCGCCCTAACAGGAAAGCAGAGTGGACTGGGTGGACCCACGGACCTGGGGAGAAGCTGTGTGTCAGAGGCACACGGAGGGCTGGGTGGACCCGCAGACCTGGGGGAAGCTCCGTGTCAGAGGCACACGGAGGGCTGGGTGGACCCGCGGACCTGGGGGGAAGCTCCGTGTCAGAGGCACACGGAGG